GCCGTGAATGCTTATGATCGGAAGGATCAGGACGTCGAGCGTCATCAAACACCCGGCGCTTTCTGGCAGTAGCCAGGGAAGTAGAAGGGCCATGAGCTGAGCTCAAGTTGTGGCCCTGAGCTCTTGCAGTCGCAGACACAGAGCTCGCGGGAGCGTTAGGGGTTATCCCATACGTCGCAGGAAGACAATCTGAAGGAAGTCGACGGCGTGCCTTGAGCTTGGCAAGCTCAAATCGGAGGTGTCGCTCCACATGCACGTCCACTCCCTTGTGGCTCAACTGTAAGTTATACAGTGAGGAAGTTCCCGGTGGCGTTGCACACATCGCTCAAAGAATTCTTCGTCATCTGTAGCTCTTTCACCAAAGGCGAGCACTACAGATATTGTCCGCATTGCGGGTACACGAGAGCCACCTCGTTTAGAACGCAGACGAGTGCGAAAAGCTTCCAACAGAAATTCTTGTGAAACCAAGAAACGAGCTCGAAGAGGTTTCCGTTCGGCAAAGTAATCTTCCGTAATGGCCGGGGGCCCGATGATGTGGAGGCGTAACGGTCGAGCTACCGCGTCCTTCGCTTCCACAGTGGGATCCGCCGGGCGGAAGCCATATTCTACAAGAGGGTCAATGACCGGCCGGTGATGGGCGCGCATCATGGCCGCCTAACGGGCAGCTTCCAGCTGCCGCTTCTTTGCCTCTTCGAGGTCATTGGTGATGACACCACGTCCCTTAGGTGAGGAGAGGTCAAGAAACGGACATGGGGTCCGCAAGGCGCGGCTTGCCTTCCTCATCATCCCACGCGGAAAAGAGTGTCAAACTCGTGATCGACCACCTCCACAACCTTTAGAGGTCACTCGTCACTGATAGCGTGCGCGGCACGCGACGCTCGGGCTCATCGAGTCTACTATTTACATCCCTCGATGCCGCGGACGCACTGACCGACATTGCACCGCGTGCGGAAGTCGAGGTTAGGCTCTGCCCGTGTGCGCAGTCAGAATCAGCGTGACTTGGTGACTACAGTGTCATTGACACAGGGCTCATTGACCACGGAAGTCGTTTTGTTCCAGCGATCCAAGTTGCAGTGTATAGCGGACACGCAAGCCTTGTTGAGGCAATAATCGATTAGAAATGTAAATCTTCTCAATCTTAATAGGGGAGAGTGTAATGGGGTTACACGTTCCCTGGCAACAGGGGTGTGTGTCACACGAGATGGGCATGGTGTGACCGCACCCAAATAAGAATACGGTACGTGGCTGGGTTGCCAGTAGTTATGCATGTATTTAAATTTTACTATATATTTAGGAAAATCTAAACATTTAAAATTTGGTGGCTTTGCCGCAGATAAAACAAATAAATACAGTTTTACATTTTAAATCGAAAATTTTTTTAGCCTTGGGATAAGGTTCTAACTACTCTTGAAGGTAGCGGATTTCGATCCGCTACACTCGTACTGGTTCTTGTGAAGAACATAAGGTCGGTGACCTAAATTACGCTTCTTCGGGCGCAAAGCTACGGCAGCCCCGCTGCAGATGTTCTGAAAAATCAGGGCTTTTAAAGATGTCATACCGCCTGGGACAAAGACAAGCAAAAAAACCTGCGATGTGAATTGCACCTATCTTGCTAAGCAACCCTATCCTCGGATCTGGGTTCCTTCAACCTCGGCCTCAACAGGTACAAAATTGTCACTTCTTTTCGAGTATGTCTAACAGGGTCGACGTATCCATCCTCGCGAGGCATCATGTATATAGAAGGATCTTGGCTAGCCCCTAGATGGAGCATACGATTCTGTACTCTGTGTGTGTGGTAACGCGAACTTGTATAGTAAGGATATTCTCGTGCGAGGTGCGCAACAACAATTTTACATAAGTCAACATGGTGAGCTACGGTAGGCAAAGATTATGAACACGCTGGCACGGAAGATGTAAAGAGCTATTCCGGGATTGCATCAAAAATCCAAAAATCTTGATCGACGTGTCATCGTACATCTTGATCCCAATAGGTCAGAGTGAAACTGAATAAAGAGTGTTTGAACGATTTGATGGCGCCTGTGAAGATGGTTCCTGTGCAAGATACATGGATTTGCGTGCGCGCGAAGCTCGCTATAATGAAGAAGAAATTGGGATTGTGCAAAGGGGACGCTACACGTAGACTTGTGTTATGCGCCGTTGTCATCGTTAATAAGTAACAGCTTGTAAGTTATTGATGTTCAGCGGATTCAGAAACCTAGTCATGCAAATCACTCAGCTTTGTCCTGGCGCATAAATTGCACGTATTCTTCTGTACCATTGCATTTTGCGCTCAAAATTACAAGCAGCTGCATAGCTGACTAATCAGGGTCAAAAAATTTCAAGCGGACTGACCGTGTGTTCGCATGAATATTTTCGAATATCAATCATGATAATAAGAAAAATAAAGAGTACTTTAATTATCATCATAACAAAAAAATTCTGTTGGTCAACATGATTTTTTTGATGACTAATTTTTCATAATCAACTGATTGTGCAGTTAGAACTTGTGACATTATACCGATATTTTTCTCAAATGGCGCCTTTCATAGCGCGCGGCGATTGGTCTGCGCAGTTTCAAAACCAATTTTGTTTGGGAGAAATTACCAATCAACTGCATGCATCAACCAACTTTCCCCAAAAGATCGCTATACTAAAGCCAAGCTAGCGAAAAGATAGGCTCATACGAATTATCTGGATCATTCACATTTTCTCCAAGTCCAGTCGAGTCAAGAATCTATTTAACTAT